CGTGGGCCCGGCGCGCGAGAGGAGTATGGCCTCGCAGCCCCGGCCCTGCACAAGAAGCTGGTCATGTTCAAATTGTGCGAGGACTGGAAGACGAGGAATTGAAGAGGCCGAATGAGACGCTTGACGAACTGCCTTGACGAGTGGATTAAAAAATGCCGAGGATTTGGCAAGGACACGAGGCACGACGAGCCCATTCCCGCCACCGGCTACTGTGGTACGCGCGCGCCGTGATTCGCAACTCGCAGCCGCAACTCTGCCCGGCGCTGCATCTCCGACTTGAGAAGCAAAGCTCGATTCTCGAGGAGGCCTCGAATGCTGGGGAGGAATCGACGAGGGCGAGTGACACTTGCAGGGTGAGTTTCTATCTGAATGCGCGTTTTAGACGCCTGGAACAGATTAAGAGATCGTTACGCACGACGCCCTGCAGAACCGAACGGCAGTCCGCGACAAGCCGGGACATTGGAAGGAAGCTCCATTGGGTCGCCTGCGACGACGTTAATCCACGCAGGCCGGACGGGGAAGGAGAGACAAAGGCGCCACCCGCGACACCAGCCGACGCGGCTTCATATGTGGTGCGCGCGCGTCATGCCTGGAGGGCTGCGCGAAATGGGTCGAAACTCGCCATCGCGACCCTGCTTGTTTTGAGACTGAAGAGGAATCGACGCGAATGAGAGGGGCGGCCCAATCGATGAAGCCGAGTGAGCCAAGATAGACACGCCGAGCTCATTCGCCTTCTTATCGGCACGTCGGGGATGGTCGGACGCGCCGACCAGAACCGGCAGGGCGGGTGAAGCGATGTCTAAATGCGCGTCGCTCTTAGAGAACTGGAACAAAATTCGAAGATTGAATGTACGCACGCACAGATGTTATCGAGTTTGAGATATACGCCGCTTCACCGATACCACATCCACGCGGTCCTCACACTCGAGGCGAATGGAGAACGATGAAGGGTCCGAACTCCCAGCTAGTGCTCCTTCAGCCCGGCGCAATGATGCTCCGTCCAAGCTCCATAGGGCCTCATCGTGCCCGACCGCCTGAACTTTGTCAACAGTGCATTCGCGGGAGCAAGTTATGATCGCGAGCTTGTCCCAGTCCGCGCAGAGGTGTCATGCAGCCTGGACTGTTGATTTGGTCTCGCGGCCGAAGGCGAAAACCAGGAGGAGCCTAGTTTGTGGAGGCCTTCGAGCCACAGGCCCATAGTAACAGCTTGGACAAGGAGTCGAGAGTTGAGCGCTGCTGGCCTCCGAGTCCATGGTGAGGATTCGGTGAGAGAAAGACGAGTCACAAAAGGTCACGCTCCGTTTATGGTAACTCCATTACCATAAACGGCACGCACGACGAAAAAAGGCGCGACAACGATTCCCCGACGGCAATAAGTGAAAACGCCCTTCACGAAAAGGGTTGTATATAGCTTGTCGATCCCCGATGATGATGCGCGCAACGGCCGCGCCGCGCAGATCCTCTTCCTCCTTCCTTACGGGCGCTAGTTCGGGGCCCGGAACAGAATTTCACAAAACCGATCGAGTCTGTTCTAGGTCCTCATTTACTCATTTATTTCCGAAGTGCATGCAGGGCGGGGAGGGGTCGTCACCCTCAAATTTTGCATTGTTCAATCTCGCTTCGCCGGGCGCCCGTCGCGCAGGTGAGTTGAGCCTGAGTAGGGTCCTGGGTAACCGTAACCTTCGAGTCAAATAACAAGTTATATATGTGGGAACGACTGAGAGTCATTCCTGAATCCTGAGTGGACGGTTCAATCAATCTCGACTCAAGCTAGGTACTTAGCGAAGGAGATCGCATTCCTCCGACACCATCACACTTGGGCGCCGGCCTCAAACCCAGTGCCTGTCCCGACCCGACACAATGACAACATCCATCGCCCGTAACGCAACCTACGCAACCCACGCGTCTAATCCCATCCGGTGCAAAATTTGCAAATCTGTGTGGTATGCAACGTGTAAATCCGGCGTCCGCAAAGAGTCAGTCGATCGGGGAAGTATCCGTATCGGTCGGGCAACTCACGCGATGCGCACAAGCGCTCGCCGCTTCCGCTTCTCGTAGCCCAAGGAGCAAGCGCTCGCGCGCGACGGCGATCTGCGCACAGTGACAGTATTAGAATGCAAGCGCCTGCGCGTGAGCCCATACACGCCCATACATATGTTTTCTCGGTCCGTCCGTCTGCACACCGGAGTGAGGCAGGCGGAAGCGCAGAAAAAAGAGCAAAGAGCAGCAGCCGTCACCGTCCACATCGCGATGGTGATCTGCGGGGATCGCCATAGACGGCGCAGGGTCCACCGCTGAGACGAGGAAGGACAGGGTCGTCCATCTCCCAGTCAGCAACGGCTTCGAGCTCTGCCTCCCCGACAACCCTTTATACCCCCAACAAACACAGTTCCTCGCCGTTCCATATCGCAAGCCAATCGATTCGATTACTGTATTAAACACCAGCCAGACAATAACTTTCTTCTCTGTCTTCTCGCTCCAAACAAGCAAGCGAGAACAAGGGTCCATCGAAAATAAGCAGCAGCACCCATTCGGTCGGTCGTTTGCGTGTGGGCGGGGCCGGTGCGTGCGTGCGTGCGTGGGTATTCTAGAGGCACTGTGTAAGGGGGAGGGGTTAGTATGTATGTCAAGAAAGAGGGCGGAGGGTGATAAAGCGGGTTGAAAGTGGAAGGATGATGAGACGAGTAAATGAAGAGAAGGAGAAAAATGGGGTGCGGAGATTACGAGGAGCGGTGCAAGGATGTAGGAATAGGACGGGGGAGCGATGAGGAATGAACGATCAGCGAGAAGAGCAATATAGCACCAAGGGGACGAAAGCGAGCGAGCCTTGTATGCAGGTGAAGGAAGCATAGCAGTAGCACGCGACGAGGGATAGAAGGTAGGAGATAGGTAAGATGGGCGACAAGTCCATGTCATGGTAATGATAGCAAGGCAGCAGTAGCAGTGCCCAAGGGAATGGAGTAGGAGATCGACAGAACAGACAGGTGTATGGGAAAGCGACAGTAGTGTCGACGAACGGAAGTCGAAAGAGAAAGAAGAGCAGAAGAGGGGCGGGTAAGGTCATGACCCAAAAATGGATATCCCGAAATGGGGCGAAAAAAGGAACGTCACGCACAGCAGAGATCATCTCCTGCGACTTGGTGTTCATGATGAGTGCGACGATGAGGCCTGCGTGAGTTGTTAGCATTTTATTTGGTTTATGAATGACGCGGCAGGGAAGCAGGCTAGCGCGAGTAAGGGAGGCGCAGCCACAGCGGACGTAATACGCAGTCCGCATAGCCAGCGCAGCACAAAATCGAGGCGCAGTGCACAGCGGACGCGCGTCACCGCCCAGTGCAAGAAGTGCCCGGAGACAAACGACAAACTAGGAAGGGAATGTTAGGAAAGTGACGTACCATACAGACCCAAGACTTCAGCGAAAATGAGGATGAGGATCTATCGAGCAGTCAGCGTCCATCGGACAGGAAGAGCACAACCACAGAGCCAGCAAGCGACCCACCATGCCAACAAACAACCTGGGCTGCTGCGCGGTACCCCGCACGCCCGCGTCGCCGACGATGCCGATGGCGAAGCCCGCGGCGAGACCGGCGAGCCCGACGGAGAGACCGGCGCCCATCTGGATGAAGCCTTGCGCGAGGGACATGGTTACGTTCACTGCGCGAGCTCCAAGTCAGCAGTAGCTCTATGCATGCGTAAGATGCCTGGACGCACGGTCGCTGACGATGAGCACCGAGACGACGAGGCCGTAGATCTACCGCACAGTTAGTCGTCGTCGCTCGTGGTGTTGAAGATGCGAGGGAGAAAAGGGAGGGAGGGGGACGTACGGCGATGATACCAGCCATGATGACGGGGACGACACACTTCATCATCTGGTCTGGCCGCAGGACGGACATGGCGGCAATGCCGACGCCGGACTTGGCGGTTCCGTAACTGCGGCGGGGGCTCGTCAGTACGCTGCAGCATCCCTTCATTGCGACAAAACGGGACTGACCTTGCTCCTATGCCTGCCAACGCAAGAACGCTGTGGTCAGCCAGCCGTCACGACTCAAGTGCCCCGGCAACGAGGGGAGGCTCCCGCGCGCAGGGGGGACTGCTAAACTCACAAGTGAAGACGATGGCGCTGGTACAGCCCTATGCAGCCAAAAAAGGGCGGGTTTAGTGGTGGAAAAAGCTGGTGGTTATTTAGGGGGGACTGACCAGGACGCTGAAGAAGGGGGCATAGACGGGGCAGAGGTCGGACGACATTGGGGCGGGCGGTGGAACGAGGGTTGTGCTATTACGGTGGTGGAGAGCGGCGAGCTGCGTTGGCGTCGGACGATGTTGGACGGTGGCTTGGCTTTCAAACAGGGACAAAGAGATGTACAGGCAGCGTTCGGCTTCTCGGCTTGTTTTCAACCCTTCAGTCGGAAATTCAACCACAGTGTTGGAAGCACACGAGTAGACTCCCTACATCCAAAGAGTTTTGAACAGTCGACTGGAGAAAAAACGCAGGCTCACATGCCTTCAAATTGGTCTCAGAACCACCGATTTTGCGCGATTGTTCAGTGTATGATACGCTTGGTGTACTCGAGCAGCCCCGTTTCTGGAGCTCTCTCCATTCCCCTACTCCTCTAGCTCGGTTTCAGAAATGAGGGCAGGGTTGAGAGAATAAAACCAGTAAAAAATGCCCATTTGGTACGAACATGGCCTGACCCCGAGTCGAACGGGGATCTCCTGCATATTCTCTTTTTCACTCAAACTTCAGCAGGCGTGTTACCGGTACACCATCAGGTCACCACTACTTTGTATGCCTGTGACCAGGACTGGTGCAAAAATTCAACCACAATTAAACACTGTAACAAATTAATATTCTTTCGGCCACTGGCACTGAAACTCTTGAGCAGGAGGGAAAGGACATACATTGCTGAACATAGTACCGCTCAGAAAAACGACCCCGGTTTGGAGAGCGAATAGCGCTGGAAAGGAAAAGGAAAGGCAAACAAAAACATGTTTCCGACGTAAGCCCTGACCCCGAATCGAACGAGGTTCTTCTGCTTAAACGCCAATATTACTTCGTAGGTAAAGCAGACGCGTTACCGGTGCGCCATCAGGTCTTTTATTCAATGTGCTTTGTATGCCTGGGACACGGAAAACGGTACTGGTGTGAAAATTTGACCACATCAATATTGAGATTCTTCAAGTGGCATGAGCCCTTGGGCCGGAGGAAAGGAACAAGCTTGTTGCACTCAACGGAGTACCTAGAGGAGAAAGGAATAGATAAATCAAAATGGCGCTGGAAAGGGAAGGAAAGGGAAAAATAACGCGAGGACTCCGAGTACAAAAGACCTGACCCCGAATCGAACGAGGTCCTTCTGCGTAAAGGCAGTCCCTTGGAATAAATTGAGCAGATGTGCTACCGGTACACCATCAGGTCATTGTATTTCCTGCAATGTCGATATTTGCAGGCTCAGGAGATGAACTTGGAAGTTGAAACCACGGGCTCTCGAGTTCAACCGTCGGCGATCTCGGGATGAGCTGTTCACCGAACTCCCGGTGAATATTCTCCCAGGCAGTCAGCGGTCCGCAAAATTAGCGTTAACGAACATGGCCGCCACCACTTCGCGGAGATTCAACTTGCGGTCAACATGCCGAACGGCGGCCTGATTGGATCAAAATTTGCGGTTCCCACACTTGCTCCGCCGTCGTTACCTCCTGCCTTGGTTAACGTTTCAACGCCGACGCGCGAAATAGGCAATAACGTCCGCCCCGTGTGCAGCCCTGCACCAGGATTACATACCTCGACAACATGAGAACGAGCAATCTGCCATGCCGCATTCCATCCATTCAATTCAGATACCAACCATAGCTCCTCGCAGCCGCCGCCTGCTTCCTCAAGTCACCACCTCCCTCAGCTCGCTTACCGATACCCGTCGCCGACACGGCCCCGACCACCCACGACTGTACACGACGCAATTACCCCGCCAGGGTATTACTTAATTCGGTCCTCCGCGGCGCTCAATTCTGACGGCTTGCTCCCAAGAAAAGGCGGGCCTACATGCGGTCGATATTTCTATCCATCTATCGCGCAGGCAGGCATCGAAATAATCGTTCTATGCCGCGGTCTCATCTTACGATAGAGCCTTACAGGGCGACATCGTGGGACCTCCGTGCATGCCCCTTCTGCCGCGCAGGCAGGCAGGTGGGGCAGGCAGGCAGGCAGGCAGCCTTCAGCGGCGGCCATCGGGTGGGCAGCAGCGGGACCACGAACGGCGCAGGCGCTAGTCGGGGGCCCGTGCGCCGGCGTCGGTTCCGCTTCCCCAAGCGGTGAAACCGCTGGTATTCCCCTGATCGGTTCCTCAGGTGTATCCATGGCCAAACCCGGAAAATCGCAGTTCTGAGCGAGTCAAGGTTCGGCAATCGGGCGGGTGTGCGATGGGGCGGAACATTCCGCGGTGTACGTCGTTGGGAAATTGGGAATAAAAAAGATGGGCTCGGTTGGAGGATGACTGTTTCTCCAAACGCTCCAAAAAAAAAAAAAAAAAAAAAAGAGGATGACTGTTTCGCGGCAGCAGTTATAACGTATTCCATCCTCTCGCGCCCATCCAGCCCTGAGCCTGAGATGCCCGCAAATTTTCAAAGCCAGAAATGCGCTTTGTTCCTCCACTCCTATAAATACGCCCAACCTCCTCCATTATTCCATCCTCCACAATGTCGACGCGTCCTCAACCCCCCCACGGCCCAGGCTGCATGTGCTCCAGCTGCCACCTCTCCTCAAAGCTCTTCCCCCGCGGCCCCAACGACCGCATAATCCTCCCCGCCCTCCGTCGTACGCCGCCACTCCTTCACCTCTAACTCACTCTAACCGTGTCTTGCCACCCAGCGGGCGAACCCACCCCCAAAAGCCCCTACATGGGCGGCAGCAGCGACCGCGCACGCTACGCCCCGCCGCGCCCCCAGTCCACCGCGCCGCACGAGTACCACCCGCGGCAAGACTACCACAACGCCCCGCCCATGCCCATGCCCGCGCCCATGTCCCCCCGCTACGGCGCGCCACCGCCGCCGAGTGGCCACAGCAGCGGTAGCAGCTCGCGACGCAGCCTCGACCAGCACGCAGGTACGCATGGCACCCCCATATACGCGTGGTTACCGACCTTATATTGACTTACGTTCTTCGTTCTACAGCGCCCCCACCGCAACACCACCCTGCGCCGCGACACGGCGGGCACGGGCACCACCGCAGCCTCAGCACGTTCACGCCCCCCGAGCGCCCCGCGAGCGCCATGGCCACGCGCAGCCCCGCTATGGCGCCTGCGCCGCACCACCCCCCACCGCCACAGCAACAGCAGCAACAGCAGGGCCAAGGGCAGCAGCAGCCGGGGCAGCAGGGCAACCTCGAGTGGATGCCCCCCGCGCCTCAAGTGGGTGAAGAAGAAGGAGCGCGTGAGCCACTTCACCGCGCCGTCGCAGTACCAGGGGACGAGCTTCCGGCAGTACGTCCACGAGGGCGTCACGACCAGGCCGAATTGAGTTCCCCCTCTCACCTCTCCACTTCTGCGCAAAGAACGAACGAACCGTAGAGTAATTAGCCGTAGTAGCGCTAGCAAATTAGAGTAAAGTACAGATAGTAAAGTCAAGTAGGATAGGACGAGGCGAGTAGTAGTAAGTAGATAGAAAGTGTAGCATTATAATTTTGTGTATTTTATTTTATCATTGCGAGTCGCAACGAACGAACGAACTTGTCGTTGTCGTAAATGTGGCGCGAACGCGTCGCCGTTTGCGGACGGTGTGGCGCTGCACGTGATGGCGATTCCCCTTGTCTTCTTTCGCTGGCTGCAACCAAGCTGCAACCTTCAAGTTACTGGCGCCACAGTCTGGACGGCCGCGCGCACAATACAACCACAGAAAGTTCTTGTCTATTGTCCTCCAAACGGAATTACTTACACGCATGCTGGCTGGCCCTTGTTCGCGGACGGCGGATCGAGTGAGAATCAGTTCATTTCATTTCACTTGATCAGGGCCAGGGTATGTACACGCGCACACGCTTACACGCAAATTACTTGGGAGGAGTCACCCAACTCCGGCGGTGAGTCCTAAACAGGCCTTTCCTTTCGAACATCCCAAACTGGAAAGCTTTACCTCGACTTTTGAGGGGGTTGCAAGCTCCCAACAACACACGGAGTCACGGACGACAGCATTCAACCAATGTATCAAGCCGCTCGCGAAAATCTGGTTCCGTTTGGAGTTCACGAGGGACGAATGAATGTCAAACTCGAATGCGGCCAGCCCCACAATTCAACGTTGGCCCAAATCCTTATCTGCAGGCGAGCGGACCATCTTTCAAACAATTGCATGCATGCGACCTGTCTCTGGCAGTCATTTCATTCATTGTTCTTGGCGGGCCTTTGGGCAACGCGTCGTGAGACGGCAGGACTTCAAGTTACCGTGGATGGCGAATTCAACCCAACCAATGAATGCATCAAGAAGTTCCATGCATGCAAAATTCTGCTTCCGCTCCTACTTATTTCACGAGCCGCCCCCGCTGTCGCCGTCCCACCCGGCGAAAAGCTTATCTAATTTCAACCATGGGCTCCGCTCAAAGCCTCGACCAACTGAACTCGCGAAATTCTGCTTCCGCTCCGATCTCACGAGCAACCCACGGGCCACCGTTTATTGCCCGAATACCTATCTGCGAACGACGACCGGACCTTAGGCCTTATTCTTCGCATTCCACCCGTCCAAAAGATTAATTGCGATTTGCAACATCTTTTTTCCGAAGAAGAAGAAGATTTGAAGATTTGCTTCCGCGGCGGGCCCGACGTGGACCTACAACGACGGACTCCAGACTCCATGCGGTCGGCGTTCATCGCTCGACCCGCCGGGTTTCCAACCTGGGGTTCGCGTGCGTGCATGCGTTATCTCTCTGGCAGGCGACAACTCCACCCGGAGTCCAATTCAAGTTTTCAACGTTACCGTCCTTATCTGCAGGAGACCGGACCTTCTTCCACGCAAACGTTTCTCAGATTTGCTTCCGCCCCGACGCCGACGACACCGACGACGTCTTCATGGACCTACAACGCGGCGTTCAAGATTCAACCCACATGTTGGCTATAGCCGATTGTATTCAACTTGCACGATTATTCGAACGTTTGAGGTGCCCGTGCGGACGTTATCTCTCTGGCAGCTGGAGACGTCGACTCGACATCGGATTTACTGGCATTCAAGCATATATAGTAAAACGCATGCATGGTTCCGCTGGGTTTCCGTGACACCCACCAATGCCTGAAACTCGATCGCGAGTTCTCGACGGCCCCGGGAATGCCCGGACTTGAACTTGGTTCCTCGAAGCGGTGCAGTGTCCGCGTTTCGGCGACCGGAGGTGGACCTTGCGGTCAGTGGCGGTGGGTGTCTCGACCTCTGGACCCGGTGGCGCGTGACTTTTTTTGTCGCCGTCGCTGTCCGCAGTGCTGATCAGGAATTTCAACTTGAACGATATTTCCAACGGGGTCTCGATCCGTCTGTGACCTTGGGGCGCGGCCGACTGGACTGGACTGGACTTTATCTATCACGCGAGGTACATTGATAGAGGGTCTGTCAAGAGAGACTGACTGGACTCAGGAATCAGGATTCTGGATTTCGTGCTGGAGGCGCTTGCACCCCCGACTCTGGGCCTAAATTCTACAAATTCAAGAAACCTCGACGGTCCCCGCTGTCTTTGGGGTGAACAACTCGGACTCCGGGGTACTCACCTGCCAGTGGTTCAATTTGAACCAGTCAACCGCGCGCGTCCGTGGCTCCCAGTTCGAGCCTTTTCAACTTCCATGCTTAAATGCACCACATCCGCTTTGAAAATTACTGCGCGTCTAAGTAGTTCAGCGATAATCAAGGCCCTCGACGCGGCACTTTGCGTTCGGAACCGTTCACCTCAGTTTCAACCGGTTTCGCGCCCAAGCCCGAACGGCTCTATCGGCCGTCGTATAGACATCTCATTTTCAACTGTCAGTGCTTTCGGACCTTGCTCGTTTTTCAACACAAGCATGTACTCCTACGACCCAATCGGCGCCCGATCGTTCGCAGTGCGCTGCCACCATCGACAACCGCCGCGGCCAACACGAACACACCGACGCCCGACGCCGACCCCATAGGCGAACTGAATACCAACCTGGCAGCGTCTGCGAATTTTTGGCGTCCCGGGCCGGGTTTTTCGCGCCTGCTAGCAATAGCGCTTTGATGTTGCGATGATACTTGCTCCGACTTCGGCTCTCCGTCGCGTCTCTCAGTCTATCGGATCTGTGGTTGAACCGCGTTGACCGACGGTTGATTTGGAGCCTCCCGCGCCGCATGGTACAGTACTACTTGTCGAGATATTGGAGCCATCTATCTACCCATGGAGCGGGAGCTCCAACCCGGCCCCAGGGCCCAACCCCGCTGGTTGGT